AGCAACAACAAATATCAATCAAAACATAGAATTAGCAACACCAACCTTGTTTAGCCCCTTGAACAGAAGTAGATTCTCTTGGTGAAGGAGTCGACAATGCTGCCAATATGTTAGGATCAATTAATCCTGCATGCTTAAGTTATGCAATAACATCTGCAATTTCTTCTTGTCGCACAATTTTCTTTTGTTCCTCCATCTGTTTCTCCATTTTCTGCATCCTCTCTTGCATTTGCTGCATTACATCAGTTGTTTCACTTAAAGTTGATTCTGAATTGCCAACTTTTTTTTTCAAAGTAGTCTTTGTAACTCCTGCACCATATAGTCTTAGACGTTCTGGATGTTCAGGACCCATGACGCTTGAAAATGCATCAACATACTCACCATTTATGCTTATTTGTTTTTCAATTTCCTCAATTTCAGCCTACCAAAGCATATCCAACAAACACAATCTTATGAAATAAATAATTAATCTCAATTAAAAAAAAATAGACAGGCACATACAATTTTACTAGTAGTATCTTCATTTGAGGTCTTGTACAAACAACTAGGATTTCTTGTTCTTGTAACCACAAAGAGATCCTTAGATGATACTGTCTCCTTCTCTTTCTCCTAGTCAAATTGAAATATATATAAAAACTAAACTCACACTGGAAGAGATCCAAAAGAAAATTTCATTAAAAAAATAATATATAAGAGAACTCACCAGCTTATTACGAACTAAAGCAAAACTCTTTTTGCCAGCAGTGTGTGGATTCATCAGTTTTTTTCGATTCTTTGCATTTGTTTCAGACATTTTCTGCAAAGAAATGAATCAGTAATGTTAATTGAAGGTATATTAGTGTTATATAGTGTACTAGACGAGGTCAATATTAGTCTGTCTTTCCTTTATAAAAATCTATTTTTCCTTTATAACAATCTGTCAGTATCAATCATTATATAGTGTTAAGGTGTCTTGTAAAATGCATGTCACTATCACAATAAATGAAGAAAGAAGCTGCAAAATATTACAATAGAGAAGAGAGTAAAAGAAAAAAAAAGTAGAATATATACTATTATCACACTACTTTAGACACTAAAGTACCAACCAAGCCTCAGGTAAAGCAGAATCAATACCATTATGTCAGCAACACCGATATCACACTATGGACAATTATGTCATAGCAGACAGTGTTGGCACTTATCCAGATGCTTTAGTACCTATACTATTCAGATGGTTACTATATGTTTTGATTTACTTCTGTAGCAGTCAAAGAGAAGGTTATGCAGGCTGGTACTATTTTTTTTAACAGCTTTTAAGTGTTGGGGGTCACTAGGTGGGAAGAAGCTGGGAAGGGAGCAAAAATCAGGAGCTATAATACAGATGCTACTTATTCAAAAAATTGAGCTTTTGAACTATATTTTTACCTTGAATTTTTCAGAATTCCAATATTTGAGGAGCTCTGTAAATTGACATTCTGGAATATGACAAGGCTTTTTTGCCATTCGAACTGCACCATTGTCATATGGATCATAATAATTAAGCTTCAAATCACTTCTATGTCTTCTCCAAGCATCTCGAATTGTTACCATAGCCCAATGGTACGCAGCTTCAGGAATAATATATTTCTCCTATAATTTTGTGTGATTCAATTAGCCAGTAGAAGTAAAATACTTTTACAAATAATTTATTATTGTAAACTACAAACCTTGGTAGAATCCCATAAATCCTTTTTAGTGTCCATGCTCCTCCAATCCAATATATCAAATGGGCAAAGAGTCGCATTTCTAGCCAATGTTCCTAGGAAGCTACTTAGCTCTATGACAACATCATTCGTAAGACCAACGGGTTGATTTTGACTATTCAGTATGATCATCTTACGTTCTTTTTGGGCATGAACATCATGCATTTGCGTTCTACCTCTTTTATTTGGAGTGGAAACATCTCCAGCTATAAGAAAATACAAGAAATATAATTGAAAATTATGAATACATAAAATAGGTTTGTAATCTTACATGTTACCTTGTTCTTCAGGTTGATCATTTGTTCGAGGAGTGACAGAATTCATTTGAACTTGATCCTCGAAAGGAAAATCTTTTCCATGCTGCTCAAGAGACAGCTCCTTGACAGGCTGCACAAGAGGCAGCTCCTCGACAGGCTGCACAACATGCAGCTCCTCGACAGGATGATTTTCAAATGGCAACTCCTCGACAGATTGTCTTTTTGCTTCAGATTGTGGTGCTACTGATTGCTCTGCTCCAATTAATTTGAGCAGATGTCCTTTCTCGCACTCTATTTCTTTAATAATTTTATTTGTTGTCAATAACCGTCGTTTCTTATTTTCCAAGAATGATAACGATCCCGGTTTAGCAAATGTCTTCTTTTTGGCTTTTTTGGTTCTTTTTGAAGTTTCTTGTTGACTCATAGCTATGACTATTCAAACCTGTGTGAAAATAGAAATTAAAAAGTTAAAATGTATGGCAGTGTACACCTGCAATACTTAAACAAATCAATCACCAAGATATTACAAAGAGTTGAAAATAAAATGTACCCTTAAGGGACATTCTAATAATATTTTTTGCACTCAATCACATTCAGTAGGTCTATTACTGTTCACAATCACACACAAGATTTAGAGTGTTTTTAGGTGCCAATTGGTGAAATTATAAGAGAGCAGCAAGTCTGTTATTGTCCACAATCACACACAGTAGGTTTGTTACTGTCCACAATAATATTTTCTGCACTCAATCACATTCATAGAATGTACATTAAGTACTCAAAGAGAGAACGAACCTGGAGTGTTGGACCTTAATAAAGAGATAAGAACCTAGTGATTTGCTGGTCCACTAATATATTGAAATTGCTCAAAGAAACTGCAAAAAGAAGAAGAATGAAATGATCAATAAGAGAGAAAAAGAACTTACCAAAACTAATAATCCAAAAGTTGTAGTAATTTAACGATAACATGAAGAAAAAAAACATAGAAACAAAAAGAAGAGATAGCAAATACAGTTTACTCAACATTCATAATCTTTATGATGCACCTCAAATGATATTCATTACTTACTATAAGAAAAAAAACATAATGTATTTGAACAAGTCCACAAGATCCTTTGTCAATCATCAACTTCCATCCAATCCCAATCAGTATCATCAAAGTCATCCTCCTCTTCCAATGTTTCCATAGCTTCATCTTGTGAATGTTGTGCAATGGAAGGAGCATCGATGATATCAACAGGAAGATCTTCTCTAGACCATCTAACATCTACATCAACTAATCTTTCTGATGAACCAATATCATCATTAGTCTCTCCCCAAAATGTTTCTTCAATATTAGGACAATTCTCTTCCTCCAAATCATACAAATCCACAGGGACTTTGTTTCTTGCATAATAAATATTTTTCTCAAACGGATCTTCCACATAAAAAACTTGATGCACTTGAGATGCTAGTAAAAAAGGATCATTTGTACTACATTTTTTATTGAAATATACCCGAGTCAATCCATAATCATCGACTTCATTATGAAACCAATCACAATTAAAAAGTACAACACTAAAGCAACCCCAATAATCAATCTCAATGATATCCTGAATAATTCCGTAATAGAGAACCATTCCATCAACAGGATTTTGGTCCCTAGCACTAGCAAAACTATCTGTTGTGGCTGACAAAGTCACTCCACTATCCTGAGTTTTACAAGGGGCATCCCGTGTCTTCGTATGAAATCGATATCCATTAATGAAATATTCAGTATATCTTTTTGCCACAAAGTTAGGCCCATTAGCTAGCAATTTTAAATGATTGGACACTTCAATATTTTTAACTTTTTCACTAAACCAATCACCAAATTCTCTACTATGGACCTGTGCTTTTACCCATGCATTGCCTCTAGTACGATTATCAGTTAAGCTCTTATGTTCCATGTAAGCATGTAATGTAATTTAATCAATGTGTATTTACAAATGAAATGAAATTTTAAATACATTCATTACATCTAAATGAAGTTTAAAAACAAACGAGTATCTTATCTTACTTGATAAATGCCTCTACTTGTTCATCTCCTATATTGAACAAAGTATATCGATGTGCTTCAAACAACTCATGCTGCTCCATGTTTAAAATCTTGCCTTTCCTTATATTCTCACTTCCAATTGGATGACCTGTCTAAGGAAATAAATGTGAAACACCACCTTCCTCTGTTTGAATGTACTCATCGTCCTCTATTTCACACCTACTTAATTTTGTCTTCACCGTACTAGGTAGGTATATGGAAATAAAGTTCAAATAATCTACGACTGAAAAACCTTCTACTATTGATCCTTCAGGATTTTTTCGATTACGAACAAGCCCCTTGAAGTCACACATAGTTCTCTTTGTAGAATACATCCAACGCAAATGAGTTGGGCCTCCAAGATTAATTTCATCTACTAGATGGATAGGTAAATGTGTCATTATATCAAAAAAAGATGGAGGAAAAATCTTTTCAAGCTCACATTCAATATCTATGATTTCTTCTTTCATCTTATCAAGATCGCTTCTTCTTATAACCTTGCTACATGTGGCTCTAAAAAAATTCCCCTATCTAATCAAGACCGTAGCTACATTCTTGGGTAACACTTTTGTGACTGCAACCTGGAGCAAGTAATGCATTATGAAATGAGCATCGTGACTTTTGTATCCTGATACTTTCATCTCTTCAATTTGCACACGACTTGATATATTAGAAGCACACCCTTTTGGTAATTTGGCATCTTTTAAGACGGTGCAAAACAACTTTTTCTCATCTGGTGTCATAGAGAAACAAGCTTTAGCTAGATGGATATTTCCTGTATCACAATCTTTTAGAGGTTGAAGATCTTTACGTATCCACATTTCATACAAGTCATAGCGAGAATTTATATGATCTTTGGAATTTCCAAGTATATCCAATAAAGTCCCAAGCACATTGTCACAAATATTATTCTCTATGTGCATCACATCAAGATTGTGCCTCAATTTGTTTGTTGCCCAGTACGGTAACTCAAAAAATATGGATTTTTTTCCATGGACCATCATTCTTTCGTTTTCTTTTCTTTTTGTTTTTTCCAAATACATTATTGAATTCACGAAGCTCTTCAAGAATTTGTGCACCTGATAATGGAGTAGGTGCAACTTTATGCTCCTCTTTACCGTTAAATGATCTTTTATCTCTTCTGAATGGATGATCAGGAGGTAAAAACGTCCGATGACCCGAGTAACACATCTTGCGACTATGTTTGAGATATTGGGAACAAGTATTATGGTTACAAGTGGGGCATGCCCATCTCCCCTTGGTGCTCCATCCAGAAAGCATTGCTAGAGCTGGAAAATCACTAATTGTCCACAATAAAGCTGCATGCATTAGAAATGTTTGATTAGTTACAACATCATATGTTTCAACTTCCACTTCCCATAGTTCCTTCAACTCCGCAATTAGTGGTTGCAAGTATACATCCATATCATTTCTGGGAGACAATGGACCTGGAATAATCATTGACAACATAATATTATCCGACTTCATGCAAGTCCATGGAGATAAATTATAGTTCATCAACATAACTGGCCATGTGCTCTATGAAATGCTCATAGTTCTGAATGGATTGAAACCATCACTTGAAAGAACCAATCTAACATTACGAGCATCATTAGAAAAGTCAGGATGCAATGAATCAAAATCCTTCCAAGCTTCACCATTTGCAGGATGTCTTAAATTTCCATCTTTAACTCGTTTAGTATCATGCCATCTCATAGCTACAGATGTTTCAGAACACATGAATATCCTCGGAAGCCTAGGTTTTAAAGGAATGTACCTTAACACCTTCACTGGGATTTTCGTAACCTTATTATTTAAGTCATTACGAACATTCTTCCATCTTGAAGCTCCACACACAGAGAAATTATCTTACTTTGCATTGTCATTCCAAAATAATATGCAATCATTAGGGCAAGCATGTATTTTCTCATAATGAAGACCCAAATCTTTTATGACCTTTTTTGCCTTGTAAAACGAGTCGGGTACCTAAGAAAATGGAAAAGCCTCTCTTATCAAGTCCAACAAATCTGAAAAGGCCACATCAGTCAACTTTTGATTATATTTAAACAAGTATACCTGGATGGTAAAACTCAACTTAGAAAAATTCTTACACCCTGGATACAACTCTTCTTTCCCTTCCTCTACTAATTTAAAAAATCTCTTTGCATCTTCATGTGGCCCCTCCCTCACTCCTTCATGTCTCTGATCATCTACTATATTTCTGAAAGTATCATGAAGTAATATATCAATGTCGTCATACATGTTAGAAGTTTCTTCTTCATCGGTTGGATGTGGCGTATTTCTTGAGGAAAATCCTTCACCATGAAAAACCCATTTGGTGTATCCATGAACAAATCCATGGCAAATCAAATGATCCTCTACCATATTTCGGCAATGGCAATTACGATTAAAGCACTTCTTACAAGGACACAATATTTCATTTCCTTGGGAAGCTCGTTCAAATGCTTTATCAAGAAAATCATTAACTCCATCAATATATTCATTGGTGGATCTTCGGAGATTCATCCAACTTTTATCTCCAAAATCCATTGAATATTTATCCTACATGACATGTGCAAAACATTAAAGCCAATAAATTTATGCGTACAAATAATATCGGCAGAAGTTAACAACTCAAACTTTTAGATTAATCTAATCTCAAACCTTCACATCAATTCAACAATAAATAATTACAACTAATAGTAGAACCAAAAAATATTGAGAAGTTAAGTTATTAGCATCTTCCACCATTTAATAAACTTTATACAAATGAATGACTAAAGGCACACGCAAACACATTTCAAAGCAATAAGGGCAGACATAGATTAGAGTAAATAACATACATTATAGCAATAGACTGCAACAAGTAAACAAAATAACTATCAATACATTAGTTTTGATTTTAGCAAAACAGTTCATGTATTTGTAAAACAATAACAAAGTTGATTGTTCACATGGAAAAAGTAGTTCGGACAAACCATAAAAACTCATATTCTCTTTATAAAAAAAACACAAGGGAGTTAGCTGGTCAATCTAACAACTAGCTACCATATCGCAAAATTTTTTTATTACTTTCAATTTCTTACCAATCAGCCTTCTCGGGTTCCAAATGAACTACTTCAAAAATCCTGAAGTGTTACCTTTGGGTCTTTATGAGCCAAGCCTATAAATAACATAATCACACAATATTATTAGGAAACCAAGCAAAAGAGAGGAAAAAATATAAGAGATATAAGTCCAAGATAAGTAGCTTAGCTTAGACAACTCCATCAAAAAATTCCTTTTTTTAAATCACACATACAAAAAAGACAGTGGCACAAAGACAAGGACTATTTCATTCCAAGAGCAGTATCACCGGATTGAATTATTTCTTTGTTTAATGAGACTGAGGAATCTTCTGCAGATGACTACAACAATTGCAATTGAGGATGTAAGGAGAGAAGTCAAAATATTGTGTGCTTTAACAGGACATAGGAATCTGGTTCAATTCTATGATGCCTATGAAGACGAGGAAAATGTTTATATAGTCATGGAGTAAGTTGAAATTGTCAACCTTAATGCTGCTTTTAGTTGTGTTTCAGGGTAACTTGTCATTCTTCAGCATTCTGACATAAAAGAATTTTTCTTATTTGGTATACGTCCTTCCAAATGTTTGCATGGCTTGTCGTATTATCATAAGAGAAATCAATTTAGTTTATCATTTTTGTCTTTTATGTTTTCTGTATTTGTTTGTACTTATCTTTGTGAGATCTTCTTCATGTTATGTAAAGGAGGAGAATTGCTGGACCGGATACTTGCAAGGTGGGTACATAAAATATTTTCAGCTTAGCATGCTTAGTATTCTCCTATGTGAATTCCCTGACTCCAGTTTTTTTGAAGGGGTGGGAAATACTCGGAAGACGATGCCAAAGCTGTCATGGTACAACTTCTAAGCGTGGTCTCGTATTGTCATCTTCAATGGGTTGTTCATCGCGACCTTAAGCCTGAGGTAATGGAGTCATTTTAAATCTACATATAACACTCAAATATTCATTTGAAATGAACGCTCTACTTATGTTTAGAACTTCTGAATGAACTTAAGGAATAGAGTGAAGTTTACTAGTTTGCACAAATTTTGTTGATGGACATTAAGAGCATGAATGCAAGAACAATAGCATGCTGCATGATTAATAACCTCAAGTATAAAAAGAAAACACTCAAGGCATCGTCATCATAGTAGTTATATGACTCTCAACTTAATAACTGATATGATTTAAAAAAAAACTTAATAACTGATATATAATTCATGGGCAACAAGTTCACAGTAGACAGAGTGAGTATTTCCATTTTATAGGTGCCATTTCATTATGGATACCTAGGATCCTGCCAACTAATTTGGTGATTAAAATATCATTCATGAGTTATTTGGTAACATAATATCACATGATGAATTCTCACAACCCAATTACAATTTTGCATAAGCCCCTGTAAAGTATTGAGAGAGTTAAATCAGCTCAACCAAATGAAAATGCTTACGGAGGTTTGTGTCTCGGACAGACCACTGAAGAAATTAGTTATGATCTGCATGTTTTCATACGGTATCTAATAGAAATTTCCAGGGTTCTTCTAATCCAACCATATATGTGAACAAATGTAGTGTCATTTCTTTCCTACGTCACTCTATGTTTCGTATGCTTGGTTTCCAAGCTCATTATATTGACAATTGTTCTTCTGTTCTATTCAGAATTTTCTCTTCGTTTCTAAGGATGAGAACTCTCCTTTAAAAGCCATTGATTTCGGTATCTCTGATTATGTAAAACCAGGTAAATGTTAATGCATACAACATATATCATTTCTTATTTTGTGCTTGTAGCATGCCATAGTTTGACTAACGGAAATATTTGACGATGAAAGGCTTAATGATATTGTCAGAAGTGCATTATGTGTCACAGTTTATGCTGGCAGTGACTCATAAGGGAAGATAACATTCAATCGAACAATCAAAAGACATAGACAATATTAGAATCCAAATGTATTTCAAAGTAAAACGACAGTGATACTCAAGTTTAAACATCTCTTAATAATCAAAAACAAAATTGAAAAAAACTAAGCCTTAATCCGAAACAAGTTGAGATCAGCAATATGAATACCAAAAAACAGAGGAGAGAACACAGGGTCACACAACTACAATATTTACATCAAGGTTTGTAGTCAGTCAAAGGACAAGAGAGTTTTTCAAAAACGAAATAGCTTAAGCTATATCAGTGAACAAAAAGAGAAACAAATACAAGTAGGAAGTAATTTGGGAGTAATTTTTGTCCAGATTCACATCAAATGGGGAATATTAAGGAAGAATCCAATTGGAACAAAAAAAATGCAGAGAGAAATACTTACAGATCCACAAACTTGGAGCACTAGATTTCGACTCTCATATATATCACAAAATCAAACAGGGGAAGTTTATACACTAATTATATTGGAGCAAATAACATAGATTTAAGACTAACCCATAAATTATTCTTTAATATTTTTCAAAATTAAATCAATGGGGACTTAGAAATCATGAACTAGCATAGAAAACTTAAACATTATTAACCTTTAAGATGAATTCGTAGTCGAACCTCAAAAGCATCACCAAAAAGAACGAGCTGGTTGTTTTCCTCGAAGAGCTTCAGCAATAGCTTCACCACCGAGCTTCACCAATGAGCTTTAGCAACAAGCTTCAGCAACAGATTCACCTACGAGCTTCACCAACAATTTCACCAACAACTCTTCACCAATGAGCTTCACCAACAGCTTCACCAACGATCATCACCAACGAATTTCACCAATGAGCTTCACCAACAGCTTCACCAACAGCATCACCAACAAATTTCATTTTTCTCACCAAAATCTTCAGAAATTCCTTCCACATGCAGCTTCACCCAGAAAAAAAGGCTCTCTCACATTGTTTCTGAAAAAATAACGGTTTCTGAAAACAATTTCTTCTTTTTCTTTTACATTTTTTAAAAACTTAATTTATCAGAATTATTTTTTTAGGAGGGACTAATGTATCTTTGAAAAATTATATTGGACGGAAATATATTTTTTTAGGAGGGAAAATCATTTAGGGCTAAAAAATCAGAATTATTTTTCTAAAAAACTGTTGCCATAGAGTTATCTATAGCGACGGTTTTAAAACTTGTTGCTATACATTCTCTATAGGAACGGTTATAGGGATTACACAACAGCTATTAGATTCAAGGATATTTGGCCACGGTTATAACCTTTGTAATAGGTGAGCTATTGCTACGATGGTATAACTGTTGCTAAATAAGCGTTGTAGTAAGTCAAATTTCTAGTAGTGAATTATGTTGGCAGGAGTAATCCTGATCCAAGAAGCTATGATTCTTGCTGTTTGATGGATTTACTAACAAACTCACTTCTTCATTTAGCAGCGCAGGTTGTATATCTAATATATATATATATATATATATATATATATATATATATATATATATATA